TAACAACATTGGAGGTATTTTGAACTATTTTCAAATACCTTTTATAAGACAACGCGCAGTGAAATGGGAGGAACTAGAGTTTATTTTGTCATAGGGTAGTGTGATTATGCATGACACGAAGTATTTGCTAGTCTAGTACTGGAGAAATTAGCGTTTGGATGCGCATTGTGCAGCTTTAAGTTTACATTTTGTGTATATTAGGCTTTACATTTTGCTAATATTAAGCCTATAGTTTGCTTGAATTGAGCTTTCATTTTGGTTCAATTGTGCTTACATTTTTTTTTAAATTAAGGTTACATTTTGCTTAAATCAAGCTTCGATTTTGCTTATATTGAGCTTAAATTTTGCTGACAGTAAGCTTGCATTTTGTGTGTTTTATTTAAATGGCTAGCCTGGTTGTCTTATCTCTCAATCTACTTGGTTTATTGTACATGGCACAGACTCGCTGCTCCACACTAATTAAGAATATAATGATAACGAGACTACATTTCAAAATTTGCCAACACGCATTGCAAACGTCGACCTCATGAATTGAACGAGTTCGAACAATGGACGAATCAAATGGCGTTCACGCTCCTCTCTGTTAAATTATTATTTTTTCTCTCTAGCTTGAGCAGATGGAACTGGAAGCGCGAGATGTTGCCGCCGGCGACAGGCAGAAGATACAGAATCGAGTTAAAGCCTATCAGGCGGAGCAGCGACAGATGGGGAAGGAGCTGGTAAGCCATTCGTCGGCAAATATTGAATAATGGCGTCAATCCCACGTGTGCATCTGTATAGTTTTATCTATATATATATCTATATATTGCCAGTTGTATCTGCCTCCAAAGGAAGGTTCGCGCGAATCTGCGTGAATATTTTTTTACAAGGTGGTGCGGTTGTCGGTGTTTATAATGAATGTTTGATTGGCGCTGTGAGGTGGTGGTGCCAGCTTGCAGTTACGTGTGGCTTGCCTTCGCAGCTGCTGCTGCGCGTCTTTTTAAGCTGTTTTAACTATTTTTTGACCAAGGATCACGTTATTTTAAACGTAGTACCGTATATACTCGCGTAATAACCG